TAGTTAACAATAAAAAAAATACTACATTATTCACTGGACGCAGTTATATTATACCTATTACAATTATCAATCTAGACCTACGGTAAGTAGATAAAAAAAATTACTAAAAATCAGTGCATTGCTCGAGTTTTTAGAATCGAGTGTGCGGCGGAAGAGTGACGAGTCGCGCGGGGGCCGACCGCACGCTGCCGAAAAAATGTTCTAGGCCGTTCAAAATCAATGGCGCTACTAAAACAATACTTTTCTTGGGAACTATATAAGATAAATGCATCCTTTTTTTTTTAATTTAATACTACGCGACGAAATAAATTCATTTCTATAAACAAAAGTAATTTATTTGTAAAGGGGACTTCAACTTCCAGGCGTTTTTAATATGTCTAAATCAATTTGTAATTTTTACAAGAGTATAATATTTTTCTAATCATGTATTACAAATTTAAAGTACTGAAACATAAAATATAATTCCATTAATTGTTTACTAAGTATGTATTTGACGATATTTTTTTTACAAGGAGTTGCGGAATCCTTTTTGCAGATTCCCCTTAGTCTTTCTGACTAAGGGGTTATGTAGGACTCCCCAAATAGGCGTACCCACTAAACCGCCATCTCCTTGGTGTCCTTCCCCTAGCCAGGGATTATATTAATATTACTTCTGACTGGAGGTTTTGTCTGTGTTCGTCCGTTCGTGTCGTTTCTCCGTGTCTTATTACGTTGCGTCACTTCGTCTACTCAGTCATCTGTCATGGGGCCAGAAGGTCATCTTCGTATCGAGGGTCACCCCAAGGTACTTGACTTCCCTCTTGGTCTCTATCTCGTATGTCCCCACCCTCATGTGCAGTATCGTCTGTATGCGTCTTCTCGTGAGAAACATCAGTTCCGTTTTTTCCGTTGCGAGTTGTAGTCCGTGGTCTGTCATCCATCGTCCGACTCGTCTCATGGTCTGGTTCAACGCCAGCTGCGCCAGCTCGGGGGACCCCTACGTAACCACCGCCACTACGTCATCAGCGTAGGCGACGAGGGTCACTCCGAGCGGCATCCCAAGCCGAAGCTTGCTATCGTATAAGCCATTCCAGAAGTCAGGTCCCAGTATCGACCCCTGTACCACCCCAGCGGTAACCTGTCTCGTTACTTGTCCTTCGATCGTCTCGTACGTTATCCGTCTGTTTGTTAGGTAATGCTCCACAACCCGAAGCAGGTATGGCTGGATCCCGAAGTTGCTTTTCAGCGCCTCCAAGATATCCTTCCACCTGGCCGAATTAAAAGCATTCCTTAATCGTCGATCGACCCTTCCTGAAACCAAACTGCAAATCTGATAAACCTCCTCCGGTCTATATCGCATCCATCAGTCTCGGTCTCAGTAGTTGTTCAAAGAGCTTACCAGTCGTGTCAAGTAAACTCAACGGTCGGTAAGCCGAAGGCGTGCTAGGATCGCCCCTACCTTTTGGGATAAGAACGAGCCTTGCCACCTTCCACCGGTTGCTGAACGTTCCTGTCGTCAAACACGTGTTGTACAGGTCGAGGAGTATCTCCGGCCGTAGACGAGCCACAAGCCGGAGGATCTCGGATGGTACTCTGTGCGGTCCCGGTGCCTTACCCGTCTTCATCGCATTCGTTGCTCTGATGAGCTCCTCAGCGGTAAAGGCGGGGGCATTTGTGCGTCCACGTCATCCATCACGTTTGTCCTAATCGGGTGCGTCGAAAACAATCCGTCAACAATCCGTCCTGCTGTTTCGGCATCTTTAAGTCCGGTGAGACTCGGGGCCCTAGTTTCCTCGTCACAATCTTGTAGCCGGTTCCCCAGGGATCCTCGTTCACTTCCTCGCAGAGCTTCCTCCAGCATCGCGTCTTGCTGTCCCGTATTGCTTTCGTCAGCGTCTTCCGTGCTGTTTTGTATATGGCTTGGAGGTTTTTCCTTTCGGGTCTGCCCCCTGCCCTTGTCATTCGTCGCCGATTAGTCAGGCATATCCTGCGTAACTCGGCTATTTCGTTCGTCGACCAATATTGTGGTTATCTTTGTTGTATCTGTCGACGTTTCGGCATTGTGCCTCTGCACAAGCTGTCTATTAATTTGGCTGTCTCGTCTGTTAGTCTTCCGCTCTTTACCGACCCGTCAGTTTTGGGGGAATTCTCTCCCCTGGAGCCGGTGCAGCCATTAGCTCTTCGAAAATTTTCGTCCGTCGAGTTTACGTAGGTTCCACCGCGGGGGTTGATGGGTTCTCGTTTGTCTCGTTCCCGTCCGACCCACTACTTCAAAGACGATGTATTGGTGATCGCTGGTTGTGTAGTCTTCGATCACCCGCCATACTCTCAGCAGTGGCAGAATTCTGTCCGATGTCATCGCGACGTCGGGGATAGAGTCACCAACACCTGGCCGTCTATACGTCGGCGTATGTCCCGTATTTACCACTGCTAGATCGAGCCTTGCGGCCATTTCCAGCAGTAGTCGTCCGGGTCGATTCGTTTCGTTCATTCCCCACTCCGTCGCCCTCGCATTAAAATCCCCCGCAACGATGACATCCCCGGGCAGGTCCCTGATCCCGTCTTCTAGGAGTGCCACCTTTCTTTCGAACTCCATCGCGGTGCAGTTGGGTGTCAGGTAGACGCTGAGATAAGTGATAGCGCCAACTGTGACCCAGACGTAGTCGTCCCCGACACCGCGATTGGAGACTCTAGATTGGGTGCCGCCCCGTACCCAGATAGCAGTGGTCTCTGTCTCGTTTGTAATGTATGTCTGGGTCGTCCTTCTCCTGTATGGTTCACTCAGAATCAGGATGTCCGCGTCATATTCGTCGGCCATCTAAGATAGGAGCATGTCTGCAGTCCTACTTCAATTCAGGTTTCCCTGAATTATTTTGTCCGTCCTCTGATCCGCCCCCTGCACTCCTCCAGCGCGGCCCGGAACACGGCACACCTGCCGCCTCCGGCGAGGTGGGCGACGTCCCCGTGCCCGGCCTCGGAGCACAATGGGTAGACCGGCTTGTTTTGGCATTCCGTCGCGTAGTGTCCGGATGTGCCACACTTGCGGCAGCATTTCGTCCTGTCCTTGCCTGTGCAATCAACTTTTACATGGCCGAAGCCCAGGCATCTGTAACATTTTGTCACCGTCAGTCGTTTCCGAACGCGATATTGCACCCAGCCAATTCCGATCCGACCATGCCGAAGCAATGCATCGGCTTCCCGCGAGTCTAATTCGCAGACCGCCATATACTGCTCAGCGCGGTTTGGACCGAAAATATGGACTCGAAAGTCCGTGTCTCGTCCCGTCTCTCGTCTAAGCGCGTCCGTCACGTCTTTCGGAGTCGCAACGCAGTCCAGATCCATGATCTCCAATTGGACCTTGGAGGTCATGGCCCTGACACTGCCCGCTTCCCCGATCGTGTCTTGGATCTGTCGTCCAAACATCTCACGTCCGTCCGGCTTGTCTGCGTCTACCTGTAGCTTCAGAAGACATAAGCCGTTCTTCGTCTTCCTCAGGCTTGTCACCTGCACGTGGCTCTCCTTCGGGTAGATCGTCGTCCGTATTTTCCGTACTATGTCAGAGTACGTCGTGTCCGTGCCCGGCCTGATCAGGACAGCTAGAACCCTTTTCCGGTGGGCCGGTCCCCCTCTTTACGTTCTTACGATTCTTTACGTCTGTTTTCTTTTTTGTCTTGTCTGATCGTTTTCGTGTTACCGTCTGCCAGTCCTTGGTCGGTTCGATCGTCGGTGGCCTCTTTTGTGAGGGCTCCGGCGTGGTTCCAACCGGTGAACGTTTTCGTTTCGTCCGTGGCGTTTCTTCGTTATTCGCCGCTGTCCTGTTTGTATTGTTGTTCTCTTGGAAACGTCTTTTCGAAACTGTGTCCGATCGCTTGTGCAGCGCGATGTCCACAGTCTCAAGAATTGTCTTAATTCCCGTCTTCACTATCATGTTCATGTTCTTTTGTATGTTTGCTGTCTTGGCCATTTACGTCGCCGTCTCTTGTATGAGCCGCAGCAGTTCCGTCATGTCTCGTGTATCGTTTGTTAATGTCGGTGTTCCTGTCGTTGGTTCTTGGCTGTCAGCGGCAGAGGCGTAGCTCACCCCGCTGCCGCCGCTTGACACACTGTCCGTCCTCTGTCGTCTCGGTAAGTTCAGTAGGTTCGTGTCGTTTTTTCGTGTCTTTCTCCCCATTCCCGTGCACAAAGTGCGGCCCTCAAAATCCGTGCCGCTGCCCGTGGCCACCGGGGCTTTCACCCGATCGGAACTCGGGGTGGATTCCTCCTGAGAAGGAGTTACCACTTGAGGTACATTAGTGTTTTCATTGTGCATATTCATATTTATTGTTTTGTCCCGTTATGCTGAAGGTCCCTCGTGGTCGCGACTCCACGAACCACGCTGGGACAACTACACGACCCCTGAGGTCCCCTCCCCCTGTATGTTTACCCTGTGTGTTCAGTGTTCCCCCCTGTGGTGTGTGCGCGTATGTAAGTGCCCATAGGCAAAACCGGGCTTCGTTCACGGGGAGAGCCCGTTTAGAGAGATTCCCTTCACTTGCTTTCGGGAGGCTCCGTTTATAGGAGTCCCCGACCATTCGCTTTTCGGTAAGACCCGTTTATAGGGTCGCCGAGCATTCACTTCCCCGGTTTGCCAGAAGGCGTGTGTGTGAGTGTTTGCGTTGTGTGTGTGTATGTGTATAAGTGATTAATGGTTGGACACATCGGCAGAATACCATTATCTTTTGCGTCATTTGTGAGCCACATCTTCCTCTTGGCCGTGTCCGTTATGGCGTTGCTGCTCAGAGTATTGACGCGACAGACAACGTTTCCACCGGGCACGTCGTGGACGTTGGAAGCTAGCATTTGCCCAGTGAGGTGTTACCACTCACTGGACCAGCCCGGCATTTGACGATATTATTATATTTATAATCATTTATGACAAATTGAAGGTATGGGGACGTAAAATATAATTCCATTAATTGCTTAGCAAGTATTTATTTAACGATATTTTTACGTTTATAATCATTTATGACAAATTAGAGAGATTGAAACATAAAATGTAAATACATTCATTGTTTAACAAATATTATTTGACGATTTTACAATAATGTCTAACGTTATGGTTTAAAAATGCTATTTTAGAACAAAGAAAAACGAGGAAAGTTGTATGCGAAGGATAAATGATATTTCCCTGTTGAAAAAATCCAGCTGGAAATCCAAGATGGATATCCACATGGATATCCAGCTGGATATCCATGTGGATTGATGTGGATTCCATATGGATTTGATATGGATATCCATGATGGATATCCATGTAGATTCCAGGTGGATTTTAACCAAAATCCAGGTGGTTTTTTCGGTCGATCCATGTGGATTTCATCATAAATCCAGATGGATTTTCCGGTCAATCCATGTGGATTTCAGCATAAATCCAGATGGATTTTAACATAATTTCAGGTGGATTTCAGAATAAACCCAGGTGGATTTTCTGATCAATCCATGTGGATTTCAGCATAAATCCAGGTGGATTAATAGAAAACCAAGGTGGATTCGTCAACGAATCCAGATGGATTTTCCGGTCAATCCATGTGGATTTCAGCATAAATCCAGGTTAATTTTGCAGTCGATTCATGTGGATTTTAACATAATTCCAGGTGGATTTCAGATTAAATCCAGGTGGATTTTTAATAAACCCAGGTGGATTCCTTGGCAAATCCAAGTGGATTTCTCGGAAAATCCATCATTTTCATAGGTTTTAGCTGAAATCCAGGTGCGTTTGTCAATACAGATATTTGAGTTGATACAAATAGACGCGCTGATTCAGCGGATAGAGCGCAAGTCGTGCAAAATACCTGGATATGATTTTCGGCGGTAGCAATGACTTTTGTTTAATTTATCTGCCAAAATGAACACCGCGGTTTTGCAGTCGTTTGGGTCCTGTAATCGTGAACTGACAGACCCGGTTATCTGTACGGGATTGCTGTGAAGTAGAAGCATTACATAGAAAGCAATGGCTAGGAAAAGAAACTCTGAAACACTAAGCCGTTGGATGAGGTGTCCTAAAAGCCGGGAGATATGGGGAGTAAAAAGACCAAATACGAAAATGTGAACTTTAATATATTAAGTTATAATTTTTGTTTTATAAAAATTTTCTATTTTTAAGCCTCACTGGGCACCTTAATGTTGATTACAATCAATTTTCCTTAGAAGATTTCATGGCATTTCTAATTTTCTTTCGGCAGAAATTGATATCCTCCGATATAAAATTATTTTTCTTTGCTAGCACTTTCTTAATACCTTCTTTATTCAATTTTAATGTTTTTTGACAATAGTAGATCAAGCATTCTGCAACAAAAAATCAAATTTGTATAAAATAAAATAATAAACAAATCGGGGAAAGCAAACAGAGCAATTAAGGAGGTTCAGGAGTCATATGAAAATGCACAGATGGCAATAATAATGAAAACAACTAGTCTATTGAAATATTGAGAATGTCCTTGAATTTTTTCAATATTTTTTAACAGCGAAAATCTGAAGAAATTCGAGCCAGAAGTTCGCCTTGTATACACGGGCTCTTATTATGTTAACGACTCTGATCGCGAAGTTTGAGATTAGATCTCTATTGAAAAACTTAAGTAATCAAATGAAATGTTCACAAAAACTCGAGTTTGTAATGTTTTCAATAAAGTAAATGAGAGCACATTTATTAGAAATTGAATAAGTTATTTTTATGAACCTTGTAACAAGTTGCATTAATTAATTAATTAAACAATCGTTATTCTCGCGAGCGATAGAGAGAGATGGAAAACCCTAGCAAGATATACATGTCGGATCCATGAGTAGGAGGAGAGCAATTAGACAGTCGACATTGAGATCACACCGAGACGACATGTAAAATAAAAGCCCGAATTCTAATCTCGAACAAAAGAAGAACAACTCCCGGTGCAAGGAAAAGTGTTTCGCCAAAGAGGACAACGTCCCTGTCGGAAAAAATTTATGTAAATAATCATAAATAACTGAAATCAATTATTGATAACAGTTATTTGCAATTTGTAACAGTTTATAAACGTCAGATTTTGGACACATATAATAGTTATGAACAGGTTTTTTTTGTTAAAAAGTGTTATTATCAGTAATTAACAGTTATTACAGTTATAACACTGCAGATCGGGGCGGGGGTTAGTCTCGCAAAGGCAGATTAAATCGTCAGTCGACATAACAAGAAAATATTCTTTAACCGGCAGTGCGAATAAAATAAATAATTATTCCCTCCCGTTATAAACTATAAATACAAACGAATAATAAAACAAATATAAGAGATGAGCGTGCTAAGCGCGCGTGAAATTACACTAGTTAAATAATGTGATAAATAAATATACATACTACTGATTGTCTTATGCTCCATTTCAGTAAGAGGCACTCTTCGATTTCCTCCATTGGGCGATGGTGCAGTTTTGTCCGCAATGACACATCGTGTACTTAATTGTACCTCATAAGAGTCATGATCATCAGTATGCATCGCTCTTAAAATAGCTTTGGTAAATTTACTACCATCTTTCAATGACAGATACTTTTTCCAGTCCTCGTATTCCATATGAAAACTTTTATTCAACCATATGATTGTTCTCTAAATAATTAAAATATACTTTAATAATATTTTATAATATAAAACGAGACATTACAAATGACACCTTTGATATTTTGAATCCTTATAGAAAATCGAATTCTGTTTACATTTTTCAAAGGACGACCGATTGTCGTTTCAAAATGTCAATTACTAATTAATTAATTGTCAGCTTTTTTAATTAGTTTTTCTAATAATAAACTGTATTTAACTGTATATTCGTGGCAACTCACAATTTTAGGTGGATGCTTGTGAATATTGAAAACAAGTTATATGGTTTCTCAAAATTTTACATTTGACCTCAAAATTGAAAAAAGACAACGCATAAAACTTATCACTGCGATAGAAACAAAGAAAGAATTCACTGTTTTGACTAGCATTGTACCGATAGAACTTCCGTAACTTTTCCAATTAAAATATACACAGTATTAACTATAAATGTGCAGAGAATATTTGGGAAGACAAAATCTGAATATTATAGGCAAAAATATTAATAGTGTCCTTTGTAAGAAAAACAAAATAAGTCTACTGACCGTAATACCATCATTGTTCGTGATAGTTTCCCTGTGACCAAAATTTCCAAAATCTGAAACATCTGAAGACTTATCTACATTTTCATATTCGTCTTCTATACTTGAGTTCGATGCAGAATTCCTGTTGATTTCTTGAGACGGATTTTCAAGTGTCTTTAATTTTTTTGCATTGTGAGTATTTGGTGCAGACTTCTTTCCCAAAAAATTACGTGATAACGTTGAAAACTCTTTTAGGGACAGTTTAACATTATTATTTTTTGAAACCGACGATCTTGATTCCATTATTCCAGAATCGCTAGTATTGGTTTCACATTCAAAAGATTTTTCTGATTTCTTTTTTTTTTTGTAGCAATGATGGACTCCAGTTTTGTTCAAAATCTAATTTTCCTTAAAAAGTCATAAAAATATATTTATTAAGCATATATTATTTATTTAATCAATATATATATATATATATATATACATGCCGGGGTTCAGAAGGACTGCAGTATCTGGAAATGAGTCATTTTCCATTATCACGAGACATTATAGCGAGTATCGCTGGTGTCGGCGGGTAAGGCTTACTTCTGCAGTTATTTTAGCAGTTTTTATTTTTTTCAACGGTTATTCGATCTAACTGCTGAAATAACTGATTAAAAAATGCTTACGGAACTACCATGCTACTTGCTGTGGCCGAGTAATGGAGAGCGCAGCAAAAAACCCTTTTTTATGACCAGTTTCAGGGAACTACAATTCTTCTGAATAACCCTGTATATAAGTTTCTAACTTTTTGTTTTCGAGTCTGGGGTTTTCTGCACATCAACATCCTGGAACATATCCTGTTCCATCCAATCATTATCGGTTTCAGGTTGTGAATGATCTTCTAGTTCCTTATCAATATTTGGTGAGATTTCAGGTAAAGGTAATTCGCGAGATCTTACAAAGTCATCATCGCTCATACTTCCAGATCTATAATCTGAATAGAATGATTTTTTAGGAGTCGATGCTTTACCAATTGCAGCATTATGTTCCTTAAAAAAAGTTAATATACACATTTATATACTAAAACATATTAACAGGTCCTTTAAAGTATAATTTTGCAAAATTTTTAAAACATTTTTTAAGGGATTTTTAGGGACACAAATAAACATTCGGTTTTGAATAATTGAAATTGGATGTATAAAGCGTCAAAAGTGGGCTTTTTCCGAGAACTTTAACGTAGTTTTTTCAGATTTTTATTATAATAAAAAACCGCGCAAATATTCCATTTGTTATTAATGTCAAAATCTTGACTTTTTTTTTTAATTCCAAAGGTCGGTTAAAATTGAAAAATAATTTTTTTTACTATGGAATATTATAGTTTTTATATTATAGATTATGCAAAAAAATCACGGCAGTTGAGAAAAATTTGTGAAAAATTTTGTGATAATTGCAAACAGTGTATCTCGTTCGCAGAATCTTAATAAACAATTGCAATAAGTCAACAACTAATGGAGATATCGGAACCAGGTTTACGGCAATAGATTTGCAAAGAATTGAAGTTTCCAAAGAATTATTCGCAAAAAACATTCATTAACCTTATCAATTGCAATCGCTCGTGCAAAAATAGCATTTTTTTAACTACTTTTTTTTTATTCATTCGACTTTTGCACCTATGGAAAATTGAATTTTGCGATTCTAAATAATTGAGCTGGATAGAAAATTTTACGCTCTACAACTTTATACCTGTGCATTTTCGTCATAAATTTGTTATTTCACGAGTAAAATCGCATAGACCGATGAAAAAATGGCTCATTTTCGCTCAATTTTGCTATAGACATTTATAGAACAAAATGCAATAAGAAAGTTGAGACGCTGAATTTTTTGGTCATTCAGCATGATATTTTGAACAGTTTAAAACAATCAGGAATGCTCTACCTCTTACATCCACCTCGAATTATAATTCGCCTTTTCTATTCATTATAAGCTTATCAGCCACATTGTAAAGTGAAAGAACAAATTGATTAAAGTTAATGTCACCTATTAAGAAATGCTGCCCTCATAGAGCTAATAAAAAAGTGTCTTTTTTTTTAATATCGTCCATCCTCAAGCATAGTTTCTACAGGCATATAAAACTCTCCCAACATATATTTTTATAATATTTTTTTTATAGGTAAATAATACTGAGAGTAAAAAAACAGAAGTACGTAAAGCTTTTGTCTGATTTTAAATTAATGTTGAAGAGTGTCACATGCCTGTAGAAACTGTCCTTGTGGCTGTATGAGATTATAAAAAGAAATTTTTCATATTAACTGTGTAAATATAGCATTTCTTAATAGGTTACATTAACTTTAATAAATTTATTGCTGTAGTTTACAATATGCCTGATAATCTTATAATACAAGTGAATAGCTAACTACCAAATCAGCTTACCCCAGTCTTGTTCGATACTTTTCTGACTTACAGTGAGATTATTCATAAAATCAGTAAGTTGCTATTCTTTTCTTCGCATACAAACTTACTGTAAGTGAGAAAAGTATCAAATAAGATTGTGGTAAACTGATTTGGTACTCAGCATACTTACTTTCATTATAAGCTTATCAGCCACATTGTAAAGTGAAAGAACAAATTGATTAAAGTTAATGTCACCTATTAAGAAATGCTGCCCTCACAGAGCTAATAAAAAAGTGTCTTTTTTTTTAATATCGTCCATCCTCAAGCATAGTTTCTACAGGCATATAAAACTCTCCCAACATATATTTTTATAATATTTTTTTTATAGGTAAATAATACTGAGAGTAAAAAAACAGAAGTACGTAAAGCTTTTGTCTGATTTTAAATTAATGTTGAAGAGTGTCACATGCCTGTAGAAACTGTCCTTGTGGCTGTATGAGATTATAAAAAGAAATTTTTCATATTAACTGTGTAAATATAGCATTTCTTAATAGGTTACATTAACTTTAATAAATTTATTGCTGTAGTTTACAATATGCCTGATAAACTTATAATACAAGTGAATAGCTAACTACCAAATCAGCTTACCCCAGTCTTGTTCGATACTTTTCTGACTTACAGTGAGATTATTCATAAAATCAGTAAGTTGCTATTCTTTTCTTCGCATACAAACTTACTGTAAGTGAGAAAAGTATCAAATAAGATTGTGGTAAACTGATTTGGTACTCAGCATACTTACTTTCATTATAAGCTTATCAGCCACATTGTAAAGTGAAAGAACAAATTGATTAAAGTTAATGTCACCTATTAAGAAATGCTGCCCTCACAGAGCTAATAAAAAAGTGTCTTTTTTTTTAATATCGTCCATCCTCAAGCATAGTTTCTACAGGCATATAAAACTCTCCCAACATATATTTTTATAATATTTTTTTTATAGGTAAATAATACTGAGAGTAAAAAAACAGAAGTACGTAAAGCTTTTGTCTGATTTTAAATTAATGTTGAAGAGTGTCACATGCCTGTAGAAACTGTCCTTGTGGCTGTATGAGATTATAAAAAGAAATTTTTCATATTAACTGTGTAAATATAGCATTTCTTAATAGGTTACATTAACTTTAATAAATTTATTGCTGTAGTTTACAATATGCCTGATAAACTTATAATACAAGTGAATAGCTAACTACCAAATCAGCTTACCCCAGTCTTGTTCGATACTTTTCTGACTTACAGTGAGATTATTCATAAAATCAGTAAGTTGCTATTCTTTTCTTCGCATACAAACTTACTGTAAGTGAGAAAAGTATCAAATAAGATTGTGGTAAACTGATTTGGTACTCAGCATACTTACTTTCATTATAAGCTTATCAGCCACATTGTAAAGTGAAAGAACAAATTGATTAAAGTTAATGTCACCTATTAAGAAATGCTGCCCTCACAGAGCTAATAAAAAAGTGTCTTTTTTTTTAATATCGTCCATCCTCAAGCATAGTTTCTACAGGCATATAAAACTCTCCCAACATATATTTTTATAATATTTTTTTTATAGGTAAATAATACTGAGAGTAAAAAAACAGAAGTACGTAAAGCTTTTGTCTGATTTTAAATTAATGTTGAAGAGTGTCACATGCCTGTAGAAACTGTCCTTGTGGCTGTATGAGATTATAAAAAGAAATTTTTCATATTAACTGTGTAAATATAGCATTTCTTAATAGGTTACATTAACTTTAATAAATTTATTGCTGTAGTTTACAATATGCCTGATAAACTTATAATACAAGTGAATAGCTAACTACCAAATCAGCTTACCCCAGTCTTGTTCGATACTTTTCTGACTTACAGTGAGATTATTCATAAAATCAGTAAGTAGCTATTCTTTTCTTCGCATACAAACTTACTGTAAGTGAGAAAAGTATCAAACAAGATTGTGGTAAACTGATTTGGTACTCAGCATACTTACTTTCATTATAAGCTTATCAGCCACATTGTAAAGTGAAAGAACAAATTGATTAAAGTTAATGTTACCTATTAAGAAATGCAGCCCTTACACAATGAATTTTTGTTTCAATTTACAATATTAATGATAAACTTATAATTTAAGTGAATAGCTGATTATCAAATCAGTTTTCCTCAATCTTTTTGGATACATTTCTCACTTACTGGAAGATTGTTCATAAAAAGAATAACTATGAAGAATAAACCGATGAAAAATTTTATTGTCATAACATCCTTACCTTCACTGCTGCTGTTGATCTTTGATGAATTTTCTCGTTTTTAGTTAATTCTTTTATTTGTAAATCATAATGCAAATTCTGGATTTGCAATCGTTCATTTATTATTCTGTATGTTTCTAAGCGCTCATTCAGAAGATTTATTGTATTCTGAAGTTTTGTCTGGTTTTGTTTTAAGTGTGAACATTCTTCTTCCAATTTTTCAAATTTTTTCCGTAATAGATTGTCATTTAATACCTTTCCATGCCGCATTCCAATTGAAACCTCTTCTATATTGTCAATTTCACTATGTTTTTCTTTATTTGAATCATCAGAATCTTTCTCATTATCGTAGTGTAATGTTTTTGTGTTTACAAACTTTGCTAGCTTACTTTGTAGAATCTGCTTTTCTATTTCTTTATCACAAATCTAGAAAAGTAATTGATTATATATTATTGTACATATTAGGAATAGATAACAAGCTGTAAATAATTTAATCACATACACAAACGTAGATTGGTTGAAATGTATAATAATTATTAGTTAATTGAACTAACCATTTTTTGTTTACTTCTTTCTTTGTTCTTATCCTCTTTTCCTGTGACTTCTTTTGTTTTCTTTAATTTTGGTGGAGTATTCTTGCAACTGTCACTTTCTGAATCACTGTCATAGTATCTGTTTAATACTGATTGGTTGAGTATGCTAAAAACTCCTCTTTTGTTTTTGAACTCAGTTAATTCATCTTCACTTCTTATCACTAAAAATGAAATAACATAACGCTAAATGATTTTGTATTGATTAAACACCAATAAATTTCCATTTATCTCTACATTACAGTTTTAATTTATTGTATTAAAAACCAATAAATTCCCATTTATTTCTAGATTCAGTTTTAATTTTGTTTGTATTATATTTCACTAAATTAAAAAAATTATAATAACTCACTTTTTATATCAGCTATTTGGATGCCAACTTCAATCTCTTTTACCATTTTTTCATCTTTCCATAAAATTGAGTATACTGCATCCTTATCAAAATTTTTTATTGCATGAGGGTTAGATTGAAATTCCAAAATTTCGTTTACGGGCTTTACGTCTCGTAAATGATCATCTATATATTTGACCTTAGCATAATATTGAGGCTTCATGTCTGAAAAATATTACTGCTAATGCAGAATAGTGCAATTTACAATGATACTTATATACTGACTACTGATTACTGATAAAAAAAGAATTCGCAATACACTACACTGTAGAACGAAAATGACGAAAGACAAAAGCCTCCTTTTGCTTTTCTTGGAAAAGTGGATTATATATAATAGACTATATATATGGTAGATAATACTAGTAGCCAAATCGTCCGCCAGGGGGGACCTCGTGCACTAAGAATCGTGGGCTGTGAATTTGTACTGAGAATAAGACCAACGAATAGCGTCTATATAGTATATAGCCACGGATTAAAGGTTCATTTTTATATCGAATGTTTATGTCTAGCCTCCAAGTGTAACTCTGTCCGTAAATCTATTTTTCTTTGTATAAATAATAATTAGAAAAATTTATCGGTATCAATTGATTAAAATCCTTGAACGAGTATTGTAAACATGGATACAGATAGTAATGGAAGCATGGATATCTCACTCTGTAAAAGTCATGAGAGTGTTGTGGGTGATTATGCACTTACATCAGATTCAACAAACGATATGCATAATTGTTATAGTTCAGAAAATGATACCGACAGTATCATGAGGAGATTGAGACAATCTAACAGTGACACATCAGACCGTTTATCATTTCAAAATGTGTCAGATACATCACCTGTAATCGGAATCAGAAATTCTATTCAAAATGAACAATCAGATCTTAATGTGGATGTTCAATCAAATTCAGGTAGTACTACAATCAAGTTTTCATAGATTGAAAGTTCAATAAGAATTTTTTATAATCTACCTGTCAATGTGTAGTTTCACAAAAAGAAAATCAAAAAAATAAATGTTATCTTAGCTAAATATTTATCAATTCACAGAGATATTTTTTAACTATGTAAAATAATTGTGATCTATTAATTTTTGTTAAAGATTGTACAGATTATCATTAAGAATATTTATTTTGTTTAGAATGCAGTAATAGATCTCATGCATATTCACATGTCAACAATCACTACCTTATAAATGAAGATGAAAATATTCCACAAAATGTCGTAAGTTTGCAATTGATTATATACTTTTCTTATGTTTTTTATCCCTTTTCACATTAGTAATAATATTTGATCGAATAGAGACAGTGTTTGAACTTATTTTTCTTGTTTCATATCAAATCTTTTCTTGTTTCATATAAAAAATAATGCTATTGATTCAAACACTAAATCAGACCTTACGTGTTATATAATATATATAATATTGTTGTAGTAGTCATTTTGTAGCTTATTGTACTAATACAAAGAAAAGAATTATATAAAAAATGAGTTCCCTTGGTTAAGTATTAGTTTTATATTCACAAGTTTAAAGGCTTGAATCACAATGCATTTCCAAAATAAAATCATGTAAATAACTTTTTAATTATTTCTACCTTTTATTATTATTGTAATAATAACTTTTTTTATTGGATACTATCCTTTCTATATTATAAATATATATACCTTATACCTTATACCTTCTTTGTGTCAATACCCTTTAATATTTCTTCAATATTTTTGAGTACAATCATCAATATAAGTATAAATAGTTATGAATAAATATATAAGTATGAAATTTTTGCCACACATATAAAATATTAATTGTTGATATACTTCATTGCCATTGCTAATTGCTAAATTAGATTTTCGTAAGTGATATTTTTTGTGTGTAAAAAAAACCTTTTTTTTCGCCTTTGAATTATCTACCAAAAAAGTCTTAATTTATGCCAGAAAAAATATTTTTCATTCTACTTATTGCTGTGCAGACGAACCTCGATAATGCAAACAGCAACCCGGCTAAAAATGTGATATTTCTAAAAATAAAAACTGCTAGTAGAGTTTTTATTTTGTTTCTCGACCTCCAGGACAATTTTCCAAAAAAGGGCTCTTTAGTGCTCTTTATTTCTGCCCAATGGATGCCCCAAAAATGTTTCAAGTTGATTAATTCATTTGTTTAAGATAAAAGCTGAAAAAACCCTTTGGTCAGTCAGTAACCCGCAACAGAAGCTTAACGACGACCATATTTGAACTCGAGATTTCGCATTTTATAAATTACTCAAATTGCACCGCCTGCTATTGCAAATGCTACAATGCACGAAAAAAAATTCGGGAGGGCTCATTGTTTTCGTTGAAATCTGTACTTTCGAATGATAATCAGATTTTTAATAAACTTATTTTTTAATTATGTAAAACCTCTTTTTCAAAAAAATATTTTTTTCAATATTTTGACAAATTCATTTAAGGCTATGAAAAAATTTTTTTTAAACAAAACCGATTTTCATCAGTCAAAGAGTCGCATGCGGCGTAATTTGAGTAATTTATAAAAAATGTGAAATCTCGAGTTGAAGTGTCCTCTTCGTCAATATTTTTTGGTGGCACGCTGCCACTTTTTTGTTGTTTGTTTCCCAAAGAACAAGAAAAATCTTGTCCGGCAACGCGATGTTAAAAGAAAATTTTTTTTTCGGAACACGAAAAGTGATTATTTTATTTTAGATTCCCTCATATATATGGACGATTCCAGCAGTTTTTTTAAAATGTCAAAATAAGCCTTTTGGCTATCTCAGATTTTCGTTAAAATATAACTATGCCCATATATATTTTTTCAAAGTCAGAAAATTTACCTTTTTTTTAGCTATTTTTGAAAAATTTTGTTCAAAGTTGGTGCTTTTTTTGAAAAAACGGAATTTCAAATTTTCGAAGCCATTTTTCTTCGAAAAAAAAATATCCACATCGTGAAAATTGGAGGGTATATTCTACACGATTTGACCTAATAAATAACGTGTTAAAGAAAAAGAAAAAAGTAAAGCGTTTTTTGTTTCGACTGTGACGGAAGCTAATTTTTTCGATTTTTAAAATATAAGTATTTTTAAGTTCATTTTGGAATCGAATAAGAACCTTCTTCCTTACTCGCAAAAAAATAGGTTGAGAGTCTTTTTTTTCTTCGTTTTCGAAGGGTTTTCTAAAAGCTAACGAGGGCCAAGATAAGAAAAATAGTTACAAACTCCATGTAAAAAAGACTCTCCTATATTTAACCCAGGCTCGGCCGAAAGCGCTGCATCTGGCCTGCGCAAACAGCGCCCCAGTTAAGATGAAGGAAGCCGAAAGTCGTAAAGAATATTGATATTTGTCGGAGTAGGAGATATTTAAAACAATAAATTAACAGGAGACATTTTTTTATATATTTATAATCAAAAACACAATTAAAATCCACCTGGATTTTCTGAGAAATCCATCTAGATTCCATATGGATATCCATCCTGGATATCCATCCTGGATATCCATATCGAATCCATATGGAATCCACATCAATACATATGGATATCTAGCTGGATATCCATGTGGATATCCATCCTGGATTTCCAGCTGGATTTTTTCAATAGGGAGAGAGAGAGATAAATCGCTCTCTCGCGTGAGCGGCGACACACGTGTGAGCCGGCAGTGAGTTAGTCTTGGTTTCATTGCACGCTATAGTCGTATTTCTTGGGAACTACAACTATACCTCGTGCCCTTGAAACCAAGATATCCATAAACCTTCTACGGGACTATCCGCGCGGGTAATCGCGTGATTCGTGCATTTGCGGCATGTGTGGGCAGCGGTGGTAGCGACGCCGAGTTCATTCCGCTAAGAGCTTGTGCGGACTTTTGCATCCGCGGTAGCGAGCATGCAGCCCTCGAAAGGAGTGGGCAATTGCGGTGTAACTTGTCGGCTGGCCAGCGACAAGTACAAAAGATAAAGCGACAATTCTGTGTGGGCGATACTAGTTTCGCGTATAACGTGCGTCATTATTTTCCTCTATCATTCATTCGCGTAATAGCGGGCGCTCGACCTATCTTTCTGTTAACATTGTGTATTTGTTGCATCGCCCGATGGGTGACACTTCATTGGCCAGAGCATCATAAATAAAGCTTCGGTGCGTTGATCTGAACCTCCTTTCTCAGAGCATTTGCCTGCTTGTTGTACATTCTCCTTGGTCCTCGTCGGATGACCCGCAATCATACACTGAGAGAAATTGACTTTCAAAATTTATTAGAATTCTAACAAAAATTACAAAAAAATATAGTAAAAGAGTGACATCCTTGCTGTATAGGTAAAATTACTATATTTTTTAGTAAAATTTCGAAAATACAAATTTTACTAAAAAATATAGTAAAATTTACTATCCACATAACAAATTTTACTATTATCACATAACAAATTTTACTTTTCACATAACAAATTCTACTATTATCCACATAACAAATTTTACTATTATCCACATAACAAATTTTACTGTAGATTTCAGGAAAATTTCTATTTTCACTGAAATATTTTTATTGGTATGGATTTCAAATGAAAAAAAACATATATTAGTTTCGCAGCTCGTACGAACACAGCACAACACTTTTTTTCAACCACATGCTATCTAACCTATCATTTCGCTTTTGTCCATTATCTTTATAAATGTATCGCATCGGTATCGCATCGCACGCACGCATTTTATACATGTATAGATGCTGGAAAGTCACGTTCTTATATAGTAACCGGCCATATTTCCAGCCGCTCGCGAGTTTCCAAACGCCATCTACCTATGATTAGGTACAACATTAATTTGATCAGATTGTTTCTTTAAATTCAAATTAATCATCAGAGATATTCAATAAAATATTATTATTTATCGGGAAATAAATAAAAAACTTCAATTTACTCATAAGTATTTATTTAATTAGATCCAATTTTTACTTATATAATAAAATCCATCAGCTAATAAATTCATATTTGCTATAAAACAATCGTAAATGTCGTCCTCTTCAACTTTTTCCCAAGAGAAACATTCTAAATCATATATTTTATATGCGTTTACATATTCATCAAAATAACAATCACTCAAGTTTTTAGTTATAAAAATGTGTGCTTCTTTGAATATTATTTCGTGAACTATTCTAAAAATGGGGCCTGAAGAAGAGGCCGATACAAGAACTGTATTTTTTTTAATAATTTTATCGTAAAATGAAACAGATTTGACACGAACTATTCTATTTTCTATTGTATAACTTTTAATTAGTAACGCATACTTTTCATAATTAGCTAAAAATTTTGTCAATACCAACTTGCGATTTTTCGATTGAATGATTGGTTCAGAAGTTTCGTTCGACATAAACCGGTAGTTCAAATTCAATTGGTGTTTGATAGCTATGGTTTTATTGACATTTATTCGACTGGTAGTGCTTTTAGCTACGCTCTTCCCTTCTTGATTTTTGGATTCAAATCTTAGACAGCATATTTTACATAAAGGACCGAACAATCTCATATAGCGAGAATAATGTACTAAAAAGTGATGCTTTGGCTTAAATGCATGCGGAAAATGAGTCGTAAGAAGTGATAAATATTCAAATATAATTGTTTCTAAATATTGGTACGTCGATGAATGTAGCTTACTGCTGAATACAATTACTATTAATTCTCGAAGTGTTAAGTACATCTGCCATTTTTCGCAATCGCCAGGTACTAATGGCCCTATAATCAAATTCATAATTAAAACTAAGTTCAACATCTCGGCCGATGATAAAATGATGCATCCATTCTTAATAGATTTTTCAGTTATTTCTGTGGGTTTATTAACATTATACCCTGGGCCGTAATCGAAGCCACGCACTTTAGAATTAAAATCATCCAAAGAGATTAAATGTTTTTCAAATATGAAATAGTTAAGTAATAGAGCAACGTCGTATCTGCAAATACCTTCGAGAATATCGTGCATAATATCCACCGTAATGTTTTTTGCTGAATGAAAGTGACGGATTTTATGCAAGGCACACTCTTCTACAATACCAGTACTTTTCTGATCATTCAAGCCTAATAAATAATTATAATTATCAATCGTTCGGAGAGAACATTGTTTTTCCAAAAAAATGTTATCTTTTTCTTCATTTTTTATGAGACAGTGCTGACAGAAAACAGTAGCATTGAAACTTTCGGTTAATCCAAGGAGAGAATGAACCCCAAGATTATCTCCAATAAATAACACCAACTCAAAATAAATAGTTTT